TTATCTGAATATGTTTGAAGATAGTCTTGATTTTTACAGACCATTGTGCGACCCAAGCCATTGAGGAATTCTATTATTGATTTTGTTTTGTTGCAATTAATAGGAAGCTAATGAGCAGCACCGAAATACAAAATTGGTGAATGCCCTTCTACGGTTACACAGAGAGATAAGGTATATTCTTGGTTTCATTTTAGTTTGTTTTCAGTTTAAGAATTGTGCTCTCATTTTAAATTGATCAAATTCTGGTGATTGCAGCCCCAAGCTGGCTGCATGTGCAGCAGACATATCCTCTCCATATCCTGATTACGCTATTGGTTTTGGAGCTGTCTGTCATCTCATTGTGTCAGCCCTTGCTTTTTGGCCTGTACATGGCTGGAGTCCGGGTCTTTTCAATACCCTTCTTGCTAGTGTTCAGGCTACTTCAATATTGGCTTTAGGTCCAAAAGAAACATGCAGCTTGCTTTATCTTTTGGTATGCATAATTGATTGACTCTGCAAAACTTTGAGGGTTATGGCCTTTTTTTTTTTTTTTCAATTAATAATTCTAAGTGCTTATGCCATTCTCTAAATTTATAATTTCCATTTGAGCTGTGTATGGAAAGATAGTTGGGCTGTGTATATCTTGATCAATTCTCATGCTCTTATTGCTTTTCTCTTGCAAGAGTGATTTATTTCCTGCGGAAGATATATGGCTTTGGACTAGTGGAATGCCTTTGCTAAGTGTCCGCAGAATGTTGGCTGTTGGGACCATACTTGGGCCCCGTAAGGAGAGGCATGCCAACTGGTATCTGGAATCTGGACGCCCAGAGAAGCTGCTTTGCCAGTTAGCACCACATCTTGATAAAATTGGCCAGATTATACAGCATTATGCCATTTCTGTATGTAATTTCTGCTTACACAGTGAACCTTTTTCCCCTTGTTCTAATGGAGATGGGTTTGTTGATGCGGCTTAAATTCTTGTTATGTTGTGTCTTTCTAATTTCCTGAGCAGGCATTAGTGGTCATTCAAGATCTGCTACGTGTTCTCATAATCCGTATTGCTTGTTTAAATACTGTTTATGCGTCTGGGCTTATAAAACCAGTATTGTCATCAATTAGTCATCATGTTTCTGAATCATCTCCGCTGTCAGATACAGATGTGTACAAGGTGAAAGTCCTTTTCAAGCTCAAAAGTTGGATTTTGTAATTTATCTAGTTTGGCACCATGATGATAGATTGCTCTTTACTTTCAGGTTTCCAGGCTCCTTGATTTTCTTGCCAGCTTATTGGAGCATCCACTTGGCAAGGTGCAATTGTGGTCCCTTAGGATAATCACCGTTACTTAGTATCACCATAGTAATAATAATAGTCAAAGTTTATATATTGCGATGATGGCCAATTTTCCTTATGTCAGGGCCTATTGTTGAGGGAGGATGCTTTTCAGATGTTAACAAAGGTGATGGAGAGATTTTTTGGTGACAATGATGTAGATAGAAAGCGAACTCCAGACGGTAGAAATTCTGCAATGTATAACTTTAGTTTCTCTAGTTGGTGTCTACCAGTATTCAAGTTTATTATGCTTATATTTCACTCGGGAACTCCTCAATCTTCCCCCAAGATGGATCTGTGAGTTGCTAGTATTTCCTAGTTACTGTTGTTGTTATTACTATTATAATCTTTTTTGGGAGGCCTAACAGCTGAGCAATGAACTCTGATTGTATGTCAGTGAAACTTTGGAGAAACTGAATGCTGAAGAGTGTGCCTGGATTTTACGCCATCTCTTAAAATTTTGTCAGGTGAGTTTCTGAATCTGTCTATATATACTGTTAGATCTATCTTGAATGTTACTGTTGGCCTCTAGATGCTTTTTTTATGCATATGAATGGGGCTTATCATTGAGGAAACTTGGGACCAAACTTAGAATATCTGTTCACTGAACATCAGTTGCGTCCTTTTTGATAATTAAGGATTAAGGATTTTTTTATTTCTAGGTTCTCCCAGTCGGAAAAGAGTTAGTTGCTTGCCTTACAGCTTTCAGGGAATTAGCTTCTTGTGGTGAAGGTCAAATTGCCTTTGGAGCTATACTTGAACCTCATGACCACGATAACGATGTCAACTATTACAATCATAGTGAAGTAGAATGGAGAAAATGCCCTCCTTTACTTGGCTGTTTGATTAAGTTGTTGAGATCAGTTGATACCCAAGAAGGTTTATCAACTTTTGTAATTGAAGCTATCTATGCCTTGTCAGTGGGATCTCTGCGGTTTTGCATGGATGGGGACAGGTTAGTTTTATTATTGGCTTCTGCATTCACAAATTTGATCAACCTATCATTCTCAAATGAGGTTTTTTCATTGGAGGTTCCAGATCGTACTGGTTATATAATTTGAACCTTTTTTTCATTTTATATCTTTAATTTGCTTAGTTTCTCACAATAAAAAGGATATGGGTTAGAGGATCTTATTAAGTATTGTAGTGCTATTTCTTTGGTATTGTTGAGCACATTGGACTTACAGTTTGTTTGTTGGATAGTTTAAATTCTGACAGAGTTGTCATATTGAAGCACCTTTTTGGGCTTTCTGATGATATGACAAGATCAGCTGGCTATCCTGAAGACAATATTAATTACGTGGTAGATTTAACTGCTTTGTTCAGTTCAAAAATTATAGCAGATAGTCGTTTGAATACCTCTGACAAACATATGTTTCAGGTATAATTTTATTGCATCACTCTTTGTCGTATTTCTGTGGGTTGTTTTATAACTTCTGCTTGTTTATCCCTGATTTGAAGGTTTCCAAAACTGTTGAATCATTGGCCTCAGTCTTGCTAGGGCATGTTGGTTCAGGGAAGGTGGATGACGTTATTTTGCCTCAAATTGATATTTTAGATTTTTCAAAGACGCATCAGACACTTGAAAACAGTGTCGAGAGGATTGATGATCATCTTAATCTTGGTGGACTTGGGGATAAATTTCTTTGGGAATGCCCAGAAACATTACCTGATAGATTGGCACCGACAAATGTTAGTGCCAAAAGGAAACAGCCTTCAATGGATGGGAACACTAGGCGTGTTCGAGAAGGTTCTCAGGCTGAAGTTTCTGTTCAAAATGCATTTTCAAGGGGTGTGACACAGTCTACTGTTTCTTCTGGGCCTACTCGTCGGGATGCCTTCCGGCAGCGCAAGCCAAATACCAGCAGACCACCATCTATGCATGTGGATGACTATGTGGCGAGAGAGAGAAATGTTGAAGGTGTCACTAATGTAATAACAGTGCCACGAGCAGGATCTACTGGGGGTAGACCTCCATCAATTCATGTAGATGAATTTATGGCAAGACAAAGGGAACGTCAGAATCCGTCTGTAACAATAGTGGGGGAGGCTGTGGGACATCTCAAAAATGCTCATGCGAATCCTACAAATGGTGAGAAGTTAAACAAATCGAAGCAATTAAAAACCGATCTTGATGATGATCTTCAAGGAATAGATATAGTTTTTGACGGTGAGGAGTCTGACCCTGATGATAAGTTGCCCTTTCCTCAGCCAGATGATAATTTACAGCAGCCTGCCCCAGTTATCATGGAGCAAAGTTCTCCCCACTCAATTGTTGCAGAGACAGGAAGTGATGTTGTTGAGAGTAGTCAGTTTTCACATATGGGTACTCCACTGGGGTCTAATGTTGATGAGAATGCCCAAAGTGAATTTTCCTCAAAGATGTCAGTATCACGTCCTGACATGCCCTTAACTCGTGAATCGAGTGTCTCATCAGACAGGAAGTATGTTGAGCAGTCTGATGACTCAAGGAATGTTTTTCCTACCAAGACATCCAGTGGATATGATTCCACAGCGGTGACAAATAGTTCAGGATTTCCAGCGTCACTTTATAATAATCTATCCACATCATCAATGCAATTGCCAGTTGATTCAAGGATGGCTTCCCAAAATTTCTATTTAAAGAACAGCCCGCAGCATGGCAGTAATGTTACAATTGTTACTGGTTCTCAAGGACTGTATGACCTGAGATATTTGTCAAACCAGCCTCCTTTGCCTCCGATGCCACCTCCACCAACAGCCTTACCTGTAATATCACATGCGTCTGATTCTATTCCTGGCCATTCATCCCCATTTGTTAACTCTCCAGCAGACACACAACGTCCGGTGCCATTTCAGGTTAGGATCTTTGCCTCCTTCATATAGATATTTTTCTTCTCTGCTTCTGCTTTTGTTATAAGAATCTTTTTTGCTTCCCATTATTTCTTTCTCCTTGTTCAGCACCTACTACATTCATATTGCTTCTATTTTTGCAGGGTCAGACAGAATATTTATCTCCTTTTATCAGTGGTTCATCTGCGATGACATCAGGATCTTCCCTTCCCTTGTCAGATTCAAAGTATGCCAGGACTTCTGTATCTTCTCCTGGTGGACCTAGTAGGCCTCCTCCCCCACTTCCTCCTACACCACCTCCTTTTGCATCTAGTCCATATAATTTGCCAACTGGTAAAGCGTCTGCTACACAACCTTCTGTATATGGTCAGACAAGCATTGGGACAGCTGAAGTTCCCCAGGCCTCCGTTGCACCATCAAATGATGCCTGGTTAGGGAGTCATTCTGCATCAGGGGTCAGATTGTCTTCTTACCCTCTGAACCCATTAATGCCTTCCTTGGGGTTCAGTAGGCCATCTTCCATGCCGTTGACTGTCTATGGCAGTACCCCAAATCAGCAACACAGTGAAATCCAGCCAAGCAATATGCAGGGCGTCTCCATTCCTCCAGCTTCCTTTCAGTCAATGCCTTCTGTTACTCAGTTGCAGCCCCTGCAGCCTCCCCAGCTCCCACGCCCTCCACAACCTCCACAGCACCTTAGGCCACCTGCTCAAGCTTTACTACAATTGGATCCTGGTATGAGTGTTCAAAGTGGGGTGCAAGTGAATCCAATGCAGATGCTGCAGCAGCCGCAGGCCTCTTCAATGCAGACCTATTACCAGACCCAACCACAAGAGTTCTCACAAGCTCAACAGCAGAGGCAAGCGGAACATCTTCAGCAGTCAGGGGATGCTCAATTGCTGGAGCAACAGGATGCCGGGATGTCTTTACATGAGTATTTCAAGTCTCCAGAGGCAATCCAGGTTTTTTTTTTTTTTTTTAATGCACTATTTTTATTATGCAAATGATAATCACATTAAATTGTCCTGTCTTTAGTCTTCATCATTATACTGCTCTTTCTGACATGGCAGTCTTTGTTGAGAGACCGAGACAAACTTTGCCAGCTTTTGGAGCAGCATCCAAAATTAATGCAGATGCTTCAGGTGGTTATTTTTATTTATTCCTCATTCTGGTTATAATTTCTTGTATCTGCTAATTAGAGTGGAAGGGGAATGTTTTTACTTTTTATGCATCCAATGAATAAGGGTCAAATCTAGTCATTTGTTCGGATTCAGAAGAGTAAGAATCTGCCGGCCATTAACTCTTGCGTGCGTAACTTATGTATCTGTGTTCAGATATTTGGGATAATAGATCATGGTTTTTGTTAAAAGTGGTAGCTCTGTTGGTTTAATTATTCACTTTGCTGCCGATTCAGATTTTTTTTTTTGGTGACATGCCGATTCAGATTTTGGCTAGCCATTGATGTGTTTCCTGTAGGGTTTCCATTGCGTTATTTAATTATCTTGCCGCAACGCAACTATCACTTTCAAGCACGCTTCTAACTAGCTGAGACCCGATTTAAAACGTGGTGGATGTTATGAAAGTATTTGGGCGATAATTCCTTGTGATGCAGTTAGACTGAATTTGTTTGTTGTCTTTATACAGGAGAGGTTGGGGCAGCTGTAGGTTGAGGCAGCATGATGTCTGAATGGAACCGGCGAGTTCTTGCATTATTCATCCTTACAAATGCACCCAGTCACATGATGCGAGATGCGCGTGGTTTAGCAGCCATTTGTACCTTTACATGTATATGTATTGTACATAACTATTTCATTCCTCCTTTTTTAGCATAGAGCAGCAACCACCCCCCGCCAAAAAAAAAAAAGAGAACATATAAAAGAATCAGGGAGCGGTAGCCCCGCTCTGTTGAGCCACCACGGTTGGTCCTGGAAAATTTGATAGTTTTGTTGCTAGGAAGATGATAGTATTTTTGGTTTTTATATGGTTAAATATCAATTCGTGGATCATTGACGTTCCAAAATTTTTTTCGTAAATCCCAAGGGATATTAATGGAAGTAAACAAAAGAAAAGATGATGCTTGGGTCTCAGAGACTAGTTTGACGGTGGGTTTTGAAAAATTTTGTTGAAAAGTGAGTGATAAATGTTTTTTTCAAGTAGTTATAAATTTTAAGTATGTGAATGTTAGCCTAACAGTGTCAACAGACTTGATAAAAAGAAAGAAAACAGTTAGCTAGAATTGATGAAGAGGATAAAAAAGGCGAAAGGATGGATGAAATTAAAATCGGAGAGAAAGCATGTATCTTCAAAATGGTTTTTCTTATAAGAGAAATCATTTTAGAAGAAAGCATGTATCTTGCCTGTTACATGTTAATTATTCTTAAAAAGTGCATGTCACTACATCTAGAAGTTCAATAAAAGAGAGAAGATCAAAGAGGAGGGTAAGGATGAAAATTCACTATTTAAACAATTATTAATCTATAGTACGGTTGGTAATATTGATGTTATTGGCTTTCCCTTAAAAATGATCTCCTTAGAACTGGTCAGGTTGTTTAGTCTAATGTCTGACTTGGGTCCTTGCTTACGCAGCGGTGGCCTGATTTATCCAAACTCAATCTTCTTTTATTGCATGGTTCAGATTTGATGGGGGTGTTCTGTCCCAAAAAAGATTTGATGGGGGTGAAATGACTGAATGGGTGGCCCAAAAAGGAGTGGACTGAGTGGGTCGGGCCGGATAAGCCCATGAACCAAACAGACATCAGCATTTCGACTTTGGGTTAATGCTGCAATAGACATTGGACCTTAACGACTGATCTTGAGGAGCCAGAGAGACAATGATTGACAGCAACAGAAATAAACAACGATAAAGCAAATCCACCCGACGCAGGGACAGCTTTACCCTCGTTGTTGTTGGGGTCGTTGATGGTGCTGGTCGGAGCTACTTGGCTACTTGCAAAAGGGGCTCTACGTTCCCGGCTTCGAGATAATGAGAAGGTAGGCATGCTCGGAGCTCCCTTTGTTTTATCGATTTGGGTCCGTCGCCGTTTCATTTTGCAGAATAATGTTCTGCTGATCACTCCCCTGCTTTGATTTGATTCAAAAGTGGGCCCTTCTATCCCCATCTGACTTCTTCTTCCTTTATAACCCCTCCTTTATCTCTAGGCATCCTCTTATACTGCTGCATGTACCATTTTAAACCACTTTAATTTTTTCACCTCATATCTGATATGTTTGAGTAGAATCTCCAAAAGATTAAATAATCGATCATTCCCTCCAATCGTGGAAACTTCAGTCAATTTCTATTCTTGGGTCCTTAATTGATTCTGGGTTCATGAAATGCAAGCAAGATGAACCTGTTGCCAATTGCAATTCATTCGGTTTTCATCCATTAAATGACTCCTGTGAGTATTTGTTTGCTTATTTTACTTGCTCCTCACTCTGTTAGCGTAGCCTTTCTACAGCTGTTTAGATCTCCGATGTCTAATGTCACAAACCAAGGAATTTCGTATGCTTGACTGCTTATTGTAAAGCAGAAATTTTATGAACGAGGTCGATTGATCTTGTTATTTATGAATAATTATCTGAACGGGATAGGCAATAAAAGATAGTGTACTTTACTGACAGAAAATGTGAAAGAGGTTAGATTAGTAGAGGAGGTACTTATATGTGCAAGGAACCCAATTGTTACATTGAAAAATTTGGAACTCATGCTAACATTGAGGCTTATAAATTAGTGTTTAGTCTGTCCTCTTTCAAGGGTTTCAATTTGACGTTCTTGCTTGATTAAGTAACTAGATTCTGGTATCTTTTCCGATTCTGCTACATCTGACATTGATGGTTAACTGAGCATGTTTTCCCTTATAATAATTAAAAGATTTGATAGATCTCGTACTAAGTTGTTTTTGTGGCACTTACATAACGGCCAAACTCTTACCACAGCTGCAGGTGCTATGATTTGTGAAGAATTTGCTATTGTTATTAGCTCCAATGGAGTCTTCTGTAAGTTCTTTCTTCTTCCTATCTGCATTTACCGTATTGTCAAACATCAGTGGCCCATCTTAAGAAAGCTCTGCTTTTTCAGGTTTCAATTGATTCGTACTGTTTTACTGCTGTAATTCTTGAATTAGAATGTTTCCAGGATAAAATACCACATTGGCAATGTATCTCTTCCATCTCAAATTTTGCTGTCTAGAGTATCTGGTTTCCAAGTCTTCTTCTCTGCAACAATATTACTGTCTTTCCTGCAGGTTAGAGATGTAAAGATTACCTGCAAGCTAGGTGATCGATCCACCAGTGATGTAGTTGTGAGGTTACGCACACAGGATGGTCGAGATGATTGGCTTTACTGCCACACAAAAATTCTTACAGAAAAGTGCAAGTATTTTGCTGACAGGCTGTCCGATAACTGGCCAACATGTCAAATCATTGACTCACGCAGCTGTGTTGATGTTTTCTGCCAGGAATCAGATTTTGATTACCATGTGAATCTTATACGCCTTCTCTATGTTGTCATAGATGGTTCTGTTGATGACTTGTGGCATGGTGTTAGAAATGCCCTTGGCATTCTTCAGGTGGCTGTTGAGCTCGGATGCCCGGAAATCATTACTGCTTGTGTCAACTACATAGAAGCAGTTGCATGGGAAGAGTCTGAAGAGGATGAGATTTTAAAAATCGTTCCTCGACTGGGATTACAGGCTGAGCCTATCCTAGCTAGACTTCAACCAGTCAACCAGTCAGCAATTATATGCATTTTTGTCTCGGCCATTCGCTTTGCTACATCATCTCCTCCACCATCATTGAATGATCTCAAATCTTCAGCTCAGGAGCAACTCGAATACATGCTAACTGAAGATGATGATGCCCCTCTATTGACAGCTGACGATAACATAAAATATGAAGTGAAAGAATGTGTAAATAAACTTTTTGCCAGGTTTAACAACTCATTGGCAATTTTGTTATGTGATTCCACAGAGTCACTTTCTGAGGCAAGGAATATCCAGTTGTTCCAATCCTATTTGACCGATTTATCATGGGCTTGTCAGATATTAAATAAGTTGGAAATAATGAGGGAATTTGTTGAGAGTTGGTTTGATGCATCTGAAAAGATAGTGAAGGTGCTTGAGCTAGGGATTTTAGCAGTCGAAATCATTGAGGTAAAGTTGCGAGCTATAGAGGTGGCATCAAAGGTCTTAGAGGCGATTGGTTATGGAACTGTAATATTGCCAACCGCCAAACGCCTTGAGATTGTGAAAGTGTGGCTTCCTTTTGTGAGGATTACTAAACCCATGATTGATTCTGTAACTATGAATAGCGATAATGCCCTGGCGCTCAAATTCGATGGTGAACTGTGGCAATCCCTTGAATCAACTTTTGTTTCTATCATTCTGGCATTGCCATCAGGGGACCAAGCTGAGGTTTTAACCGAATGGTTAGCAAATGACTATGTTCGGTATCCGGACCTGACGGAAGCGTTTGAGGTATGGTGTTACAGATCCAAGGTTGCAAAGAGAAGACTATTGTTGCTAGGAGATGATCATGGTACTAGCAACTCAGCCTGAGGCTTCCTCAAATTCATTGTCTTTGTATTAGACAGTTGATCCAGGACTCCTTGCCCAGTGAAGGCATTTAGCAGAGAATGTTATCCCGTATTTGCCTGAGAGCGGTAATTTCTGCGGCATCTCATATGTAAACCATTTACTCTAGCTCTAAGTGTAATTCATGGAAATAATGATTTGCCAAAGTAAGCTTAGCCGTAATGCACACCTTCTCCAGTCATGCGGCTTGCGTTAGTCATGAAGTAGGTGAAGTGTATGTGTGCGGCTCCAAAAGTTAGGGTCCTTATCTTGTGAACGAGTTAACTAACTTGTCGTTTGTCTAATTCGTTTATGCCTCAATCTGAATCCTTTTCAATGGGTTATCGTTTCTCTTTGCAAAATCTTTAAACACAGATATGTCATATTAAAATGGGAGTTAAACAAACCAGAGGCACCAATAGTATATTTCAAACTCGTGAACCGTCCAACTACATATGAGATAGACTGTGATTTATTGGTTGAATTGCGTTTATTTTCACAAATATGATATAATGACTGGAAAGTACGGCTTAAACCTAGCAGCCAATGAAGGTGAAACCCAATGGAAAGTGACTTCCACCTTTGCAGATAAGGAACACAGCCCCCACCAATCATTGTAGCTACGATATAAGAGAAAAATGTACTCGTAAGTGCTGAGCAAAGATTTCATTTTTCTTAAGTTTCAAGAAAGAAGGGATCAGATATCGAAGGTATTTTACTTTTTCCGACTCAACAGTTATAATATACAGAATTTGCATCTACGGTAAAAATGTTTGTGTAAATATGGAAATGAGTAAGAGGTGGTAAACTGCGGGGAGAATTTCGATGTAGGTGCAAGTATTGAGGGACGAGTTTGTTTGTGGGGATGTGCTTCATTCTCGTATCAAGGCGCTGTCTGCTGTTGAAAGGAAACTCAAAATGAAATTGTAAAACCGAGGCCTTTGCTTCCCCAGTCACCCTCATCTCCGCCAATGCGATCATGCCACGTACGCCAAACACCGACACCGTGTATTCAGAGCTGTGACACGCATCTGGCCAACTTACCCTCATGCATCGTCATGTGCTTATGGCTTGGAAGCACTAGACATTTCCAAGATTGGCTCTCATGTCATGTGCATCTCTATACTAACTTCAACCCGACGCTCAATATAACTCTTCGTCCACCTCTTAACCCCTCTTCCTGAGATAGAATTGTTTCTCAGTGCTGTTGATTGAGGAGGCAGATGCAGGCAGAAAGTAGAGCAAGTAATCATGGAGAGTAGCGGGTGGAAGCCTAATGTAGAGATATCACCGAACTGTCCCAGGTGTGGGTCTTGCAACACCAAGTTCTGCTATTACAATAACTACAGCTTGACTCAACCTCGTTACTTCTGCAAGGGGTGCAGAAGGTACTGGACCAAAGGAGGATCACTCCGCAATGTCCCCGTCGGCGGTGGCTGCCGGAAGAACAGACGTGGCAGTAAGACCTCCTTCAGACAACCATCCGGGGATTCTCTTCCTCCCGAGATTTCACCTCATGGAGATAATTGTAATCGCGCAGCAAATCCATCTTCATGTAGCTCCTCAGGTGTGTCTGATGCTCCAAATATTGATCTTGCACTTGTTTATGCGAATTTCCTCAATCAAAAGCCAGATTCAACAGCACCAAGCGCAGAAGTTTTGGGTCTGCCATCAGAAGATGATAAACTTGGTGTGAGTGGGTGTTTGACAGAATCCCAATTGAGTGAGGGTAACCAAATGTACCTGTATGGGTTCAACTCTATGCCGAAATATCTGGAAGATCATGGAATTGATCAGCGTTGTAGTAGCAACAGTAGTCACGATGCTATGAATTTTGAGTTGCCGCCATTGCCAGGTGAAGAGGCGGATTTGCATGATATGATGTGGTCCGGTTCTGGCTTGCACTCCTCGCAGCTCCCTCTTTTTGGTGCTGATGCTCATGATGCCGACTTCTTATTGGATAATTGGGGCCACTTCGATTTATCCAGGCCATGACACAATATGATTATATTCATTGTCGCCCTTGTTTTGCTTTCCATATAGTTATATATGTATATGATTAATGCATCATAATTCCAACATGTAAACAGACATACTCCCGGGGTTAGTTATATATATATCTAAAGCACCCCTGCTCTGATAAACTCTACGAGCTCTTGAACACGTTTAGTTTCTTCATTTATAGACATCAGTTTCGTTTTATCCATTCTGGTCTTTCATGATGATTCTGGGGGCAAGCATTTCTTCATGTGCGCTGGTTGAAGTTCTTTTGATGCATAATATTCATGGTGTCAAGTCTGCAGATTTTGAGTGAGCTCGAAATCGATATGCCTCCGTGGCCCCTCGATCGGAAACATTATTTGATGATCTAGAAAGCAACGATATATAGATATACGCATCGGATAATAGATATACACAAACACGTAAATAAATAAATGGCATAAATATTTTACCCAAAAATGAAATACTCCTCCTCCTCTCCTTAATGTAAAATCTGATTAGATTAAAAAAATTAAGTAAGTTAGTTAATTATGCAAAATATGATGTTTTTCCTAAAACACTAAAATTATCTTCTTAATACCTTCCCTTCTTCTCCTATTTTATTATGGAGTATCAATAATAGAGATAATTTAGAAAAAATTGATAAATATGATAAATAAGTCTTATATTTAGAATCAAGATTAACTCAATAATTAGATTATATATTAAGTACAAGAGGAGTATTAAATAATGGAGTGCCATGAGTTTAGAGTCCACGTACGGTTAGGTTTGAAGGTTGCGTTTAAGCTTTAGCGTTAGCGAAACCCTAATTTGACAAGTATTCGGATCGTTTACAACTTGTGTCCCAGGAAATCTCAAATGTCACCCCTGTGAAATAATTAATACGATCGTCATAATCTGGTTGCTGCTGGTTAATAATTCAGATCAAATTTATGTATTAAGGTTTTTGTCATTTACATGTAATCAGTAGCCAATTCTCGAGCTCGTTTCTCGTTCTCTTCTCTAATTCGATGTAAGCTGTGGTAATTGCCAAATCGATGATGTTAACACCTGCCAAATTTATGAGCTCCATATAATAGCGAGTTGGCCTCGTACAAAGACCAAAGCTCACCAGAAACGACCAATTAATTTTTTTTTCTTTTTAATTTTTTGGTTGACGAGGAAACAATTCAAAGTTTGAAAGTATAGACTTGGAAAAGAGAGAAATCACAAACTTCAAACTATGTGCAGCACATGATCCCAGAACGCACATGATCCAAGAAACTATCCTCCCACGTACTATCCACTTCGAGTCAACAAATGTCCATTTTTTATATATATAATGTAGTATATGGAATATTAAACACACACACACCCACGCATATATTCATTTGGCTGGCCAGTTGCTTGAAGATAAAGTTGTATTTTTTTTTTAAATAATCGCAATCATTTTTTTAATATTAGCTGAAGATCGAAGAGCCCAAAATAATATTGATATAAATCAAACGGGGATAATTAATATTTTATATGACTCAGCATAGATACAGTTGTCTTGAGAAATTTTTTATCGAATAAAACTTAGATTAAGTTCTTCACTCACACTTATTATTTTATTATTGTTAGTTGTTAAAATGTATCTGCGTACTAGTAAATTCACCTATAAATACTTGTAAACTTTTTGTATCGGCTCTGGTAATATAAATGAAGATTTGTAAATTTTTATATGGACACTTATTATTTTACTATTATTAATTATTAAAATAAGTATGTACACTTATAAATTCACTCATGAAACACAGATACTTATTATCTTGCTACTGCTGATTGCTGAAATATTTATGGACAATTATAAATTTATCTACAAATTAGACCGAATAGATATAAGTAACTTGACTTAAATTTGTTCCCTTCTAACATGTGTACGTATAATGGAACCCAGCTGCTTGTATGAATAGTATGCAGTTATCCCATAAGAATGCTCACATATGACGCTGTTGATGCGCCATATAGAAGGGGGTGTGATTGAAGTGCAAGCTGTGGCTTAACTAGCTTTGCACCAACCATGTGGATGTGTTGTCTATGTGTGTGTGTGTGTGTCTATATATATATATATGAGCAATTTGAGCGATAAGAATATTTGTCATCGATAATATTAAAGGACCCGCACGGCTTCCTCATTATTCAGCCTTAGCTTCTTCCTATGCCATTCTTATCAGACTTCTTTCATTTATTATGCATTTTCAGGTCAAACATACGCGCACCATAAAGCTTCTTTACAAGTTGCTTTTCCGCTTTACAATATTTTTAAGCAAACAGCCACGTCTCTGAGTTTAAATTGCGTCTTCCTTGTATATGCCTGGAGTTCTATTCACATGCATATATATTTCTTGACCAACAAATTAAAAACGCATAACACTTATTTTGCTTCTTAATTAAGAGAACATGTCATATTAATTTTTTCACTGGAGGCGCATTCTGTGTCAATTATTATTGGCTGTGAAAACTAAACAAATCATCGCAATGTAATCATCAATTGGGCATGGGTGAACGTGAAGCTCCAAAGTAATGGAATTTGTAAAACGGTTCTTGCATATGCATAACCGGATGTTGAAATGGTCAAAGCTTTTAATCTTGCGTGCTGATATATATTTTCACTAAATTCTCAACTGCGTTCATAGAAATGCTATTGTGCCCATATCATACATTCCAGAATTTTCCCGTATTCGCGCTTCACAATTAATTATAATTTCAATCATATAATTGTTCTTAAAGTTAACGCCTGATTCTTCTTAATCATTTTAGAATTTACCTCATTAAACTGTTCTTTAATCGTGTTGTTTGATCTTGGTCCTAATAATTATATACGTATGTACACCCACTTGGTTATACTATCCTGTATTTTTGAAAAATTATAAAGTGGCTCAATTACAAGTGTTGTCCATTATTTACAAACACGGGGGTACATAAACAGGAAAAGAAGAATAAGACTGAAGAAAACGAAATGGATCCCCCCATGGAAATAGCCCATTTATATATGTGCCACATTTGACACCTAATTAGCCTCCCCTTATTGTCGCATTATCAGAAACTGTGCGGAGAAACCCAATTTGACACCGAACCTTTCCTTAATGGGCCATACTTGATGCCAATGGATGTTCATAATACGTTCCTGTCCAAACAACTTTGTGTTCCTGTACAAACAATACGACAAAACCAAAAAGAGCGACTTGAAATAGTAAAATCAAGAGATCGGAAAGCCAAATCTGCTCGGCGTTCAAGCTAAGTATGAACCCAAACTGCTGGGCATGCATGCAGAGTTCTTGCATGCGAGAGCATGGAGTTTGAGAATCTCTCTAGCTTTCTCCTTCGTCTTGCTCCCACTCTCCATTTGCATCACCAAACACAGCTTCCCCATCGCACCCACTTGTATCATTTCCTGCACAACACTGGCAGTCGCCGAGGACTTGGAAACAGACAGCAGAATCCTCACCGCCCTCTCGTTCGCCATAGTCGAAACCCTCAGAATCTTCTTCGACACGACGGCTAGCCCTGCCCCGTGCCTCAACAGCTCTGCTCTTCCCTCAGCACAACTACACAGCATATCCAACAACACTAGCATCATCTCACACACCTTCCTCTCCTCACAATCCAGAAGCAGTTCTATCAGTTCCCAAACACACCCTACTTTTACTGCTCTGTGCCTGTTTCTTCCCCACGGGCAGAGCTGGATCAGTGTTTGCAGCGTCGCGTATGTAGCCTGCTGGGAGATTTGATCTTTGAGAATCTGCACTAATTCAACGAATAGCTCATATCTTATGTTGAACAAGCGTGAAGAATCAGCGACTTGGAACATTGAATTCAGTAAAAGGACTGCATACGCTCGTGACTCGTAGACTCCTTTCTGCATGACTGTGGTTAAGGAATCTATTAGCCCTCCATTTCTGAAGGTTATGAGAGATTTTAAGCTAGCTTCCGAGACGTGGAGGCTGTGGAGGATACTTAGGGCCTCGTCTTGGTTAGGCTCCACCTGCGGTGAGGCTGTGGATATAATGGATGCTAAGAACTCAACAGCACCCGAAGCTTCCATGCAGCGTCTGTTTGTTTCGCTGTCGGAAGCAATAGATTTGAGTTCTCGGAGACATCGAGTCAGGGAGTGAGGTGATCGGGAAGCGTCTCTGATGAGCTTGGAAATCTGGGTCTTGGTGACTGGGGGCTTGGGCGTGGGGATCCTTTCGATGCCGTGAGAAGCGTTCATGGTACACCAGGCCTGAATCAATCGGCGAAGGGTATGGTTGGGGGTGAGATCGGTGTCGTCCGATAGGGGTTGTTTGGTGACTGGGCAGGTCATGCTCTTCCCTGAGAACAGCCATTTCTCAATACTCTCGCGGTCGTAGGTAATACCGGTGGACACGGTCACCGGATCCTTCATGATTTCCAATGAAACGGGGCAGATAAAGAAGGGAGGGACATCAATCTCGTGATCCATATGATCGATCAAGAAGCCGAGAAAGAATGGATTTTGATGAGAGAAATTCAAACGGTGCAGAAGAAGAGAAGTTGAAAGATTGAGGAAGGAGGGCACAGAGTTGAAAATTGGAATGGTTACGTTGGAGTTCGTTGGCAGTTGGGGGAATAGGGAAGGGGAATATATGTAGGGGAAGCCGTGTCTGGCCAGCGTGAAAGTGAATAAACGCAGAAAAAACAAAAAGCCTCCGCAGGGGGGAAAGAGGAGGAAAGAATATAATTGAATGACTTTTCAAACAGTTGGATTTGGATCCATTCTTGTTCTTGATGGCTAACTGAATTAAATAATATTAAATTTAATGTCACTTAAATTAGTTTTAACTACATAGAAAATTAAAATGTGTTTAAAATGAATCTTACTCAAAATATTTTATTTAGTTCATATATTATAAATGATTGGCATATATTTCGAATATAGATTATAATCACTCGTTTATTATAGAGAAATATGAGGTATTTTTTTTATCATACACATTTCACCTAATAGAAATATGGGGTAAAATACATTACATTATTAAGCAACCCTGAATAATCCCCCCCTCGTTACTTCGGGTGTGTGGCTCTCTTCTCAGCTCATTTTCTAACACAGGGGCGGAAGGACCTAGTCATCATCGTGTGAGGTTAGGGGGATAGGTGAATCAAAATGAGGAAACAAAATAAGCTGACGTGGATGAAATTTGTGAGAGCGGGTTGGGGTAATTCCTTTGACTTTCTCTGTGTAGAAGCCGGTTTGCGAACCCGGTGGCGGGGTGGGTTCTTTAAACGTGGGTTTTGACTGCTGCGCTTATTGTTCGACGTGGACCCATTGTCATTCCGGAAGCTTTTCCGGCCCCCTCTTCTTCTACTATCATATTCACTGTATTTCTGTCTTCAATGTTCACACGCTTCACTTTCTCGCCCAACTCTTCTTTTGCGCTGACCTCTTTTGCGCCAACGTCATATTACTATGCGGTATTGTTTTATTGCGGCGTAATGTTTTTCGTGTGTCAAAAAAAAAAATGTGACCGTAACTTTCTTATATGCAAATATGTTTGATACTAGATCACATAAGAAAAATCCCAATATATATGCATCTTTCAAGTAAAAATATACATATTAAAGCATTTACTTTTATTCTTATCTGTTAACAAATTTAAAACACTGCATAAAAATGTTATATTTTTTAAGTAATTTTGATTTATATAAAATATTTAAATACTGTTCATAACAGATATTTACGTTTTTAATGTTTTAGTAAACACGGTTAAGATTTTTTTGTGCTTGTAATTTCATGTCATTAACGATAAAATAATAATTTTTTAAGAAAATCAGGAAATTTTAATTTGTATTTTCAATTATTTGGGGTGTTTTCCAGAGAAAGTTAACTTGTATTCATATATCTTTATGGCCTCTCTCTCATATTCCGTTTTCCCAGTTTCGTTTCTTGCAAAGAACCTATTAGGGGTTTTAATTATTTTCCAGATAGGTTGTAGTTACCATAATAAATTACCATGGTGCACTGCATAAAAGATTTTGAATCATGAACAGCTTCTGAATATCTTAGATACGCAAAATCAAACAGGTGGAAAACAACCGTGTTATTACAATGAGAAGGACAGGTTTGAATTTTGTTTGTATAGAAAAAAATAAAAATATATGTTTAATAATAACCGCTATGATGTGCAAAAATAATTTTTAGGGGGGATATTGCTTAATTAGGATGAACACGAAGTAGCCGCAGATTTCCGTTCTTTTTCCCGTTTTTGTCGAGACACTGATTAGTTGATTGACCAGTTGAAGAAAGGGAGAGTGGATAAGAATAACCATGCATATATAGTCATGGACATGTGGGTTTGTTACACTTTACACACCAGTCGTCGTTCTTAATTTGCGCCTTGGACACTTTCAAACGAACATCGCTTTCGAATCATATATTATTATCTCGCGGGCAATCAAAGTGGATTTAGGGTCATTTCCCACTATTAATAGAAAGTCATTAACCCATTAATCAACATCCCGCCCCTCATTGGTTTGATTGACGGCCAACAATTACCTTGCCTAACAATTCGGGTTTCTTACATTCACAAATAATCACAACAATAAAACGTGCATCTATAGTGTAGTTAAACAGTGTATAATTAATTGACCAAAAAAAAAAGTATAGAATTTGTATGTGGCCAAACAAAAAAACAGTATACAAATATTAATTAATAAGGACTCCATCACTCTTGAAATAACTGTTATTTATGTAGAACTAACTATATTGCATATATAAATTATTGCCTGGAGTATATTATTTTTAATAGATTTTTCAATAGAATTTTCGGTTATTAATAATTAATCTTGATGACTACAAGACTAATTAATATTTATTAAAATTTTAAAATGATTATTTTAAAATAAAATCAAGAACTCTAAAATGAGTACACTATTAATTAATTTACATAAATTAATAAATTAAGTTAATTTTTGAAGTTTTAAAAGTGTCCTCAATAAAAGTCAGCTGGTTGTTCTAAAAATATTTTGGACAGTGGATTTCATATTAAAAAATTATGAAAAAACTTACCGATAATGAAGATCATAATGAGTGAATATTTATGGAGTGTGGATAGCATCCAAGATTGTTGTGAAGTTATATTAGGTCCACGTATTAATTTATGGAGTGTGGATAGCATCCAAGTTCTCACTTAACAACCTTCCACTTTGTCTGCCACAATTTCATTTTAATGGCTTTCATATTTAGAAAATCCACTATTTTTTATGGAAGAGATATAAAGTGACATGAATATATAACGACGTGCGGGTTAAAAAAAAAAAAAAAAAACAAAAAATAAATTAATAAATTGAAAGATGAAAAAAGGCAACGAATGCATGGAACTCGTGGTCGCGAGGTATCAATTGTCGGCCATGAATTATGTCGCGTGCGGAGTACTCAGTCCTCAAGCGGTTAAACCTTTTGATTTAAAGCAAATCAAGCTAACTGAATGTATGATTCATGGTTTAAATTTTTACTCAAAATTTTTTTCATATTTAATATCCAATAATACCTTAAATAAAATTATTTCTAACGAAAGATAATACTCCTCCGGTCCTTAATGTAAGACCCATTTAACTAGTTTGATTAGATTAAGAAAGTTAGGTAAGTTAGTTAATTATAAGAAAAATGACACATTTTTCCTAAAATACCATAATCATCTTTCTTAATACCTTATCTCCCTCTTCTACTTGATTATGGTTGAGGGAGTATTCATAGGGATAATTTAGAGAAAATTGATAAATATGAGAAATGGATCTTATATTTAGGACCAAAATCAATTTAAGAATTGGGTCCTATATTAAGGACCGGAGGAATACGTGCCTAAAAAAAATTACTGTGAATTCAGAGAAATTCTTAGGTATTCTGGAAGTAATACGTCACTTGAATACTCTCTGATAAAAACGCACCAATCCAATCAATAGCAGGCCCACTTGTCAGCTTCTGTGGATGTTTTTCAACGGAAAATATTGCACAAAAAATTCTACCACAACTGTTTTCTCTCCCCTCTTTTTCATTACACCTCTCTCAAATTTCTCCCTCTTTTGCACTTTTCCTCCCCGTCTTTCCATCATCTTTCTCATCATCCTTCGTTAGCTTCTCTCTCCTCCTTCCAGTATTCCTGTCGTAACAGCCCATTTGACCCTTCTTCTTCTTCTTCTTCTTCTTCTTCTTCTTCTTTTTGCCTGAAAAGCCCTCTTACTCAGCGTCTCCCACTTTCACCACATCTCCACCGCCATAATGCCCTACACCGCCGCCAGCATTATGTCAGCCAAGGTTAGCTGGTGCTCAAGCCATTTGAGGGGTGCCATCCCGGACAGCATCTTATCCATGAGCACTCCATGAATCTTGAGATTATGAGAGCTATTTTTGCTCGCCCCCGCTTCAGCTTCTTCCTTCATCTTCCATTCTTCATTCTTCAACAAACTTAGCAACAGCAAAATGGCGCCAGAGGGGTTTTAAAAATTTTGAACAAATGCTGTACATACACTTGGCCTGAGCTCTTTATTTTTCAGCAAAAATGCTATGTCTCACTTGTACTTCGTTATGCTCAGGACCTTAGTGTGCTATAATGCAATTTTTCGTCTCCAGAAAAAAAGTTGGCGAAAAGAAGAACGGGGAGAGAGAAACCGGTGAAGAATAATAAGAAAGAAGATGAAAAAGAAGGAGAAAAGAGAGTCACGAAAGAAGGTAGGAAAAGTGGGAGAAGAGAGGGAAAATTTGAGAAAAGTGTTACCGAAAAATTGTGAAATATTTTCGTGAAATATTTTCCATTGAAAAAGAGTAACATAAGCTGATAAGTGGGCCTACAATTGATTGAGTTGGCGCGTTTTTATTGAAGAGTGTTCAAGTGACGTGGTACTCCCAGGATACCTAAGAATTTCTCTGTAAATGCAATCTACGCATATGCCCCGATCGAGGTACATACGATGACAAAGATGTTGAGTTGAATGCGGGTGATCTGGTGAGTGGGAAAAGGGCTGCGGCGGTTATTTCGACCCATGAAAATTAAAAGGAATGAGTACGTTTTGGGTTTGTGAAGGGACACTTTCCAAATAAATGGTATGAAGGCAATAATATATAGCCTGAGATATATATATATATATATATATTGTACCGTGTCAAAAAGTTGTAACACTTTGGTATTGATCACAACATATGACTGTACTTGGCAAAATGATGGACTTCTATTTATACGAGGATTCAGGAGCAACGAGAAACACGGGACCACTACAAAAAATTAAAACTGCTCTTGTTTATTTTAATCATATATGTGCGTAATCAGTCAAACTTGTAAATAATAAATTATGGGTTGAATTCAATCCATGACAAAGTCTCTCCCGTCAGCCACCAAATACTATTAATTTCCTGTATTCTATTCCTAGCCAACGTACAGCTTCTTTTGACTCATCGTTTCATCAAAACTAAACTCCATGATTCCTTAATTTACACTTAGCTACCTTTTGTTCTCATATTTAACCACTTCC